ATATGCCATCATATGCTGCTATGCTATGCAAAGCTATGCTATGTCATGCTGTGCTGTGCTATGCTAAGCTATGGTATGCGATGATATCCTATGCTAAGCTGCGCTATGCTATGCTATGCTATGATATGCTGCGCTATGATATGCTATGCTATGCTTGGCTATGTTATGCTATGCTATGCTATGCAAATGCAGCGCTGCGCTATGCTAAGCTATGCTAAGCTAAGCTGAGCTAACCCTCTAGGCAGAGCCTAGGTAGGGAATTACACCCATGCTAATGCTATGCTATGCTCTGCTCTGCTATGCTATGCTATGCTATGCTATGCTGCGCGGTGCTATGCTGTGCTGTGGTGTGCTGCGCTATGCTATGCTATGCTATGATATGCTATGCTATGCTATGCTATGCTATGCTGCGCTGTGCTGTGCTATGGTGGGTTTTGCTATGATATGCTGTGCTGCGCTGTGCTGTGCTACGCTATGCTATGCTATGCTGTGCTATGCTATGCTAAAGCTCGGCGAAGCTAAGATGAAGGTAAGCTAAGCTAAGGTAAACCTGAGCTAAGATGAAGCTAAGCTAAGTTAAGATGGAATAAGCTAAGCTAAGATGAGATAAGCAACGCTAAGCTAAGGGAACGTCACTGGGGGAACCGCGGGGCGGATGCCGGGGGAACCGCCCGGGACGAGGAACACTGCCCGGCCCTTGAAGCTTGTAAAGTAAGACCAATTTTAGGCAGAGCCTAGGTAGGGAATTGTGTTTAAAATGACGGGAACATGTTCTGAACATGTTTCAAACATAGTTTTCCATGTTTAAAACATGTTTGAAACATCTTTTAGGCATCTTATTTGGCAGCCTGCTTCCTCTCCGATAATCGACTTCCACAACAATACAGCTGTTGGCCTCCACAACGTGCGGTGATGACACAGCGCGCCGCACTGCTGCTCCATCGCCTGCTGAACTGCAGGCCCGCGCCCGCGAAGTAAATACCGATCCTAATATGACGGGACAGCGTGAGGGGGTTCTCCTGCATGAAGGCAAGAAAGTATCGATCACGTCGCTGCGCGGCAAAGGTTCGGTACTCACGGCCCGACAGCTGGCCAGCACGGAACTACGAGCTTTGGAAAATGATCGCGACGCTAATTACCTCGGTACGCACTTGCTTTACAACACCAGCTCTGCAACAATAAAACCACGGAGACTTGACCACGCAGAAGGGGCGTACCGCGCATTTGGCGGGTGTTGGTCGTCAAGGGCACCTGCTTGTCTGCGTGTGTTCGTCTTGCGTGCTGCTGTCATAACGGATTTGGTTTCCGCTGTCATTGCCTTCCATCTTGGATCATCCGATTACCGATCCTTTTATACAGTCATCGTCGCAACAGGGCGCAAATGAATGCACGGAGAGGCGTGCACTAAGACCGAGGATGGCGATGGAGTGACCTACCGATCTAAACCGAACGCCGAGGTTCGGAAATGCTTCGGAATTGCGCCGTCGTTGTACAAACTCACCATAGTTAGGTTGAAATTCATGCAGCGCGTTCTCTCACGCGTGGCATATCACGAACACTTCTTGACTGCAATTTTCGACAGCACTCCGACCTGCGGTTGTACCAGTGCTGGTGAAAATCCTTGGCGAACACAGTTTTTGAACGACTTGGAACGAGCCCAATCTGCACTGAATGAGCCTGGCTGCATTACCGAAGTACTGACTGACGTGAATTCTTTCTTCACGAATGATGACTTGAGGGACGACTTTTGCAGCATTGGTTTTGATGAAATCCGACCCAGAGTTCTCCATGAGTCCATGAGGTTCGCAACAACTTGAGCATGCTGCGTACAACAGGAATGCAGCAGTGAGCCTGCAAGGCGAGGTATGCGTGGGCAGTTGGGTGGGGATCATGCTAGCATGTTCATCACACATCTCGATGTCACCAATGCTTGCCCTTGGTGCTCCACCTCGTCCGCGTCTGCGAAGTCTGCCCAAAAAACCTGTCGGCTGCCTTCAAAAGTGTGCGACGTAAGCTTGGCATGAACATTCTACCAATTCCCGTGCATGGTGTCGAGAAATGGGCTTGCCCCATTTGTAAAGACACCATAAGTGGCGTGTCGCATTACCACTGGCATCTCTGGTCGCACATATCTGGACCAGCTCTAGTGTTTCCACCTGCTGTCCCAAGCATCCGAACTGAGCCTGGCGATGGAGCTCGACTGGACCAGGGCCCCCGGCGCGGAGGGCGAGGGGTCAGCAGGCAAGCGCAGAAGAGGAAGAGATGGCGAGGTGCTGTCTGCATTCGTGGCCGGATCAGACCAGCCGCCTACGGCAAAAGAGATGTCAGAGTTGCGACATATCGTCGCTATTCTCAGCAAGCTCTCGCTCAGCAGCTCCTTCCAGCTGCGCGCCTTGCGCGCGGTCTGCCCTGAAGACGGCAACGAAGACCTACCAGGAGAAGACGGGCAACATGGACAGGGCGGAACGGGAGCAGAAGAACGACCTCGTCCACGTGCGCGTGTGAAAAGGCCTCCTGACGAGGCTCTGGACGACGGCCGTGGAGCAGGAGGACACGAAGGCGATCGAGAAATACTTGGCCCTCTGCCAGGCCGAAGGCGGCATCCAGTACATGCAGAATCGAGTTTGAGTTTGCCAGGTTGCCAAGGCATTCAACAAGGGGGACTGCAAGGTGGAGCTCGGATTCAATTTCCCCGACAGCGTCCACAAGAAGATCTTCGACAGGATGATGGCTCTGATGAGGACCAACCACAAGGCGCGGCTCCCAGCGGGTCAGGCGCCGGCGGGCCAATTGGAGGACCTCGTCCAGCAGCAGCTGGGCAAGCACGTGCCAGAGAAGAAGAACGCCTTGAACCGATCAGCCGGCTGGAACAGCGCCGAGACTATGGGGAGATCCCGTTTGAGTTCGTCAGAGCTTGCTGGGAGGCAGCCGCAGCAGGCGGGATGGGACGAATTCCGCAATGGCGTGCCCTTCATAGACCTGGGGGAGATGCTGGATGTCCCTGACTCGCAGCAGTGGAACTGAGCACATCAGCAGGCCATGCTCGTGTCCTGTTCCCTCCTTCCTATCCCTCCGTTGCTGGCATCTCCTGCGCGGTTCTCGCAGCCCCCCGTGGGCGGTTGGGCGCGTCGCCCGGCCTCTCCCCTCGGGAGTCGGGTGTGTTGCGTTTCTCCGCCTGCTTGTCCTCCTTCCTCTCTCCTGCGATCCAGCTTACACATCTACATATTTACAAATTGTGATTCAATAGCAATTGCACTCTCTCCGGAAACCTGTGGCACCATAGAGTAAGTCGAGTGTGGTGTCTGAGTCGGGGCGCGGGGCTGCTCTCAGCCCGTCGCGGCTTCCCGATGTCAGACCTTGCCGTAGGTTCGCTAGTGCCGGCGAAGCGGCCGCGGCACGGTCGATGGCGTCTCCGCGCGCACGTTGCGGCACCGTCGATGGCACAGGCGTTGGCGCGCCACGGAGCTAGTGAGTGAGTGAGGGAGGCAGGGAGTCAGTTCTGCAGCAGCGAAGGAGACGCGGGCGCCGTCGGCAACCAACCTACACAATGAGACCCAGAAGCCACAGCCGCCCGAGCGAGCGACCGGCCTCTGCTGGAAGGCCACAGGGGCGCTGGGGCGTGCGTCAGCGCCCAGCAGAATGGGCGAGCCAGCCTGCAGGCAAAGTGTGACAGAGGCGCCCCCCCCCTCGCTCGGCAGGGAGCGAAGGGCGGCTGGCGGGGCCCGAAGTGCCGCGGCTCACAGAGCCAGGCTCCCAGGTGACCGCCGCCAGGAGGCGCCAGCGATCCTCCGCAGCGGGGGCTCGAGGCCCCCGCGGAAATACAGACCGCCCGCTGGAGGCGGCAGGGCGTGCCCAACGCAAGCTCAAGTCGGCCGGGGCTAGGACGCGCGCCCCGTCCGAACTGAACCCACGCGGGCCGTTCTTGAAGAAGACGGCGACCGTGTCGAGGGCCAGGAATGCCTGCGCGGCGGTCGCCAGATATCACCCCCCTGGCGCGCGCGGCGGCGGCCGCGAGCGGACGCAGGGGCCCGCGCCGGCACGCTGGGGTCGAGGAGCTGCAAAGACTGCTGGGGCGCGAGAGGCGGAGAATAAGAGCGTGCATATGAGGGGGAGGAGGAGGAGGAGGAGGAGGAGGAGGAGGAGGAGGAGGAGGAGGAGAAATAGGAGGAGGAAGAGGAGGAGAAGGAGGAGGAGGAGAAGGAGGAGGAGGAGAAATAGGAGGAGGAAGAGGAGGAGAAGGAGGAGGAGGCGGAGGAGGAGGAAAAGGAGAGAAGGAGGAGGCGGCGGATGGGAGGGGATATGACAGGAGACGGAGGCACTTCGAGTCTGGATTTGGCAACTGCGAGCTATCTATCACATGCCATTCAGCCAGCTCCAACGCGCAACGCCGCGTCTACCTCAATGAATCGCATGGGCGTGTGAGCTGGGGGATGTGCTGGGACCCAGAGTCTTTGTCCGACCCCAAGCTCCGTCAGCTTGGCGTAAGGCACCCAGCCGCCAGTTACGCCCGCCTGCCCGACAACTTGCCGCGGTCCCGCCGCGTCGAGCTTGACCTGAGCCTCGGGTACATTCTCCCACTCGTAGTCATCAAGATCGAATGCTGCCTTGAATTCTGTAAGGCGGAGCCCCACTTCCGAATTCTTGGAGATGGTCCTGAAAACCCTGCCCACCTGCTGCTTCCACTGGTTCTGGTCCGAGCTCACCTTGTTCAGCTTGAACCACTCCTGGGGAAACCAAAAGGCACCGATACCGCTACTCCCTGGAGCCCTCACCGGGTGCGTTCTGATCAGAATTGCGAAGGAAATCCAGCGGCGGCGAGGAGGGCCTCCCAGGAGGCCCCAAACGGGACAACGGGCGAGGGGCATTGGCACGGGTGCTTTCTCTTCCTCTGATTTCCAAGCCCATCTGGAACTCGATCAGAGTGATGGCGCCGTCGTTGTCCGTGTCGAGCTTCCCGAAGACGTCCGTGGGCGAGAGCCTCTGCTCAGCAAACGCCCATCTCAGCCTCAGCGCCGGGTCGATATCGCGCCCCCAGCCGCGGCGATGCGACGACCGACGACGGGCCCTCGCCGAGAGCGTGCCCAGTGGGAGGAGAGCGCTCGCTCGCCGAGAGCGCTCCGAGAGCGAGCCGACGGGGCCGTGACGAGAGCGTGCCGAAAAGGGGGAAACGCTCGCGATTTGTTCGTTGGCGCTGCCCTCTCCAACGCTCGCGGGAAGCCCAGACTCTCTTCAATTAGTCGCGGGAGGACCAGACTCCCGCGAATTCCTTGCGGGAGGCCTGGGCTCTCGCGAACTTTTCGCAAGGGGAATGACGAGCCGAAGCGGCGTTGAGGCCGCGCCGCCGGGGAGGGGGTGCCGCGGTCGCGGCCGGTAGAAGCGCGAGCCCAAGGATTCCCGATCATTTCCCCCCTTCCAATCCTCTTCGCTCCTCCTCACTCCTCCATCATCATCCTCATCATCATCAGCATCATCATCAAAATCATCAGTATCACCATCATCATCATCATCATCATCATCATCATCATCATCATCATCATCATCATCATCATCATCATCATCATCAGCATCATCTTCAATACTGCTCACTCCTCGATCATCGCCCTCCCGCTGGCCTTTCGATTGGACAGTCGGCGTCGTCGTAGGCGTCATCGACACCGTCGTCGGTGGCGAAGCACGGGGAGGAGACAACCAAACTAGATAGGATGAAGAACAAACAGCGTCCAAAGACGGCTGCGCTGCCTGTAAAATCCACCATCCCCCACTGCGCCTGCAGGCTAAAGTCATTCTGCGCCCGCGGGGGGGGGAACGGGAATAAGACAGGCTACAACCACTTCGGACTGTTCAGGAACTACTTCGGTCGGATTACAACCACTGGAAACGGACTGATCGCAACCTGAAGGATTCCTATATCAACATGTCTGAAGAACACCGGATTGCAACCGATCCAAGAGCTTCTGCAGAGCTTCTGCAGAGCTCTGAGCGAGGCCTCTGAGAGGCCTCAGCGAGGCCTTTCAGCGGCTTCTCTCAAGCCTTTTCAGGTGCTTCTCTGAAGCCTTTCAGAGGCTTCTCTAAAGCCTTTCAGAAGCTTCTCTGAAGCCTTTCAGAGGCTTCTCTGAAGCCTCAGAGGCTTCTCGCAAGCCTTTCAGAGGCTTCTCGCAAGCCTTTCAGAGGCTTCTATGCGGCCTTTCAGAGACTTCTCTGAGGCTTCTCGGGCTCTGGGGGCCCTCACCGGGCCCAGGGGCCGTCCAAAAGTGACTCAGTATGCAATGCTGGTCTACTGTAGGTTCATGCGGCGTTGGCACGCCAGCGACGTTGGCGAAGGCGTTCAAGGCTGCATTTTGCGACGCGGAAGCACCGAGGGACACGGTGGGGCCACTGTACCTGAAGAAATTCAACCTTGAACGATCAGGGCCGCGATCGATTCAAGGTTGAACGATCGACGCGGTGCCAAAAGCCTTGTGAGAGACGACGCCGCACGAACCTACCGTAGGGGAATTCGTCAAGACCTCTTGGGGTCGACGTACTGGAAAAAATATGACGTTGGGGGTCTGGGCCGCCGCGTGTACTCGCCTTGCCATCCCGTCTTCCTTTCCCTCCTCCTCCTCCTCCTCCTCCTCCTCCTCCTCCTCCTGCTCCTCCTGTTCCTGCTGTTCCTGCCCTTCCTCCCTCCCCTCCTCCTTCTCCCTTCCTCCTCCCTCCCTCCTCCTCCTCCTCCTCGTCCTCCTCCTCCTCCTCCTCCTCCTCCTCCTCATTCTCCTCCCCCTCCAGAGATGCAATTTGTTTCACACTGGGCGTTTTCGCTCAGGTTGAGTCTCAATCGTATACGAATCACGTAGGACACGTATACGGATCATGGCCACGTTCGAGCTCCAGTACATGTGTAAAGCTGAGGTCATGATCGGCCGTCGGTGATCAGACCGATCGCAACCGCTTTTGCAGATTCCCATTGGGCGACTTAAGGGATCTCATTGCACCCTGAAGCGCTCTTACGATCTCGCCCTTCATCGAAACCTTGTTCGAAACGACCCAAAAACATCGCAACCACTTCGGACCGATCGCAACTGGTTGTCATCGGCCCGAAATGGTCGACGATCGGGCCGAAATGGTTGCGATCGGTCGTGCTCGCGGGGGGAACCTCCGTCCTCTTTCTCCTTGTCCCGGAACCGAAGCGATCCAATCCGATCCGACCCTCCTCCTCCTCCTCCTCCTCCTCCTCCTCTTCCTCCTTCTCCTCCTCACCATCACCATTGTCATGATCATCATCACCATCATCATCAACATCAAAAATCATCATCATCATCATCATCATCATCATCATCATCATCATCATCATCAGCAGCAGCAGCAGCAGCAGCATCCGCATCAGGACCTTCATCATCACCATCACTTTCCACCACCACCACCACCTCGTCCTCCTCGTCCTCCTCCTCGTCCTCCTCCTCCACCTCCCACTACTCCTACTCCTACTCCTACTCCTACTCCTACTCCTACTCCTACTCCTACTCCTACTCCTACTCCTACTCCTACTACGACTGCTGCTGCTACTACTACTACTACTACTACTACTACTACTACTACTACTACTACTACTACTAGTACTACTACTACTACCACTACAACTACCACTACCACTACCACTACCACTACCACTACCCACTACTACTACTACTACTACTACTACTACTACTACTACTACTACTACTACTACTACTACTACTACTACTACTACTAATACTACGACTAATACTACTACTACTACTACTACTACTACTACTACTACTACTACTACTACTACTACTACTACTACTACTACTACTACTACTACGTACTACTACTACTACTCCTACTACTACTACTACTACTACTACTACTACTGGTACTACTATTACGACTACTACGGCTACTACTACTACTACTACTACCACGTAACGCCCCTCACGGGGGTAGAAACTAATTGGACCAAGTGCATGTGCTGGTGCGTCACGCTGTCACCTTGTTGGTTTGGCTTTGTCGTCTTATTGCTCCCTTTCATGATTACGCATTTCGCAGATCCATATGTATATCCACCCCGCTCCTCTCTGTGTTGTCGGTTCGAATCTCTAGTCTTGTATGTTGCATTGGTTGTTGTTTAATTCAGCTCATGGCGTCTTGGTTGTCGCTGAATTTCTGATTTGGCCCCCCCCCGCCGCGCTGTCATCGCCCTAAATTTCTAATCCTATAATTATTAAACCCTGATTATGCTAAAACCGGTCATCATGCAAACCCGCTCCATCTACTGCAAAAAAGGCATGCCCTGAGCATGGGTGCAGAATCTCTTGTGTTTTACAATACAAAGTGCCCGGTCCCCGTTGCGACCCGGCCGCACCTATTGCAAAAAAGCATTTGCTGAGCATGCGCGCAGAGTCTCTTGTATTTTACATTATAAAGTGCCCGGTCCCCGTTGCGACCCGGTTATGTAAACCACCTCCATATACTGCAAAAAAACACTTCCTGCGCATGCGCGCAGAATCTCTCGTACTTTAGAATACAAAGTGCCTTCCGTTGCGAGCCGATCCACCTATTCCACAAGAAAGCCTTTGCTGCGCATGCGTCCAGAATCTCTTCCGCCCGACCCGACTCCTCCCGCCCGTTCGAGCACTCGCGCGCGAACTGGATCGCACATCAGTCGTCGCCGTCGTCGTCGTCGTCGTCGTCGACGCTGTCTTCGACGTGGTTCTCACGAGGGGAGAGATGATATTTATGGTGGGGTGGCGTGCGGGTGGGAGCGACGGCCACCGCGGGTGGGTTCGCGGTCCAGGTGTACTCGTGGCCACGCCTAGTAGACCCTAAACCCTAAACCCTAAACGCGCCCCCAGGCCACCCCACGCGCCCCAAGGGGCGAATAGGCGTCGCAGGCGCCCCCAAGCGCTCTCAGCGCTCCCACTCGCCCCCATGCGCCCCCAAGCGCTCTCACTCGCTGCGCTTACAACGAGGGGGAGATGGTCTTTATGGGGGGGTGGTTTGCGGGTGGGAATGACAGCCGCCGCAGGTGGGCTCCAAGGCAGGGGACAAGCTGCGGCAGAGCTTGTAGACCCTAAACTGCAAGCCACGGGCGTTGCAACGTTCGTCGGCCGCGGGGCCTGGCCGAGCGCTCAGCGAGCCTGCCCAACACTCACGCACGCGGCACCGACGAAGCGCGCAGCGCTGAGGAGGCATTCGCTCGACGCGCGCACGCGGCCGCCGCTTGTTCTGTCTTAGGAAAGAAACCCCTAACCCTCGGCCGCAGCTAACGGGTTCCCGGTGGTCGGATGCTTCCCCTGGGGGCCACGTAATTCTACGCACGCGGCGGCCTCTGGGGTCTCCTAGGGATACTCCAGGCGCTCCTCTCTCCGACGCCCCCTAAGGATACTCCAGGCGCTCCTCAGGCGCTCCTCAGGCGCTCCCAGGCGCTCCGAGAAGCCCTCCGATGCTCCCACGCGCCCCCAGACGATCCCGAGCGCTCCAGAGCGCTCTCCCATGTGTTCCTGGGGAATGCTCCACGCGGTTTTCCGGAGCTCCCAAGGGGTTCCTGGACGCTCTCAGATGCCCCCGCGCGCTCCTAGGGCCTCCCTGGCGCTGGAGCGCACTGCCCCAGGCATAGCGGGGGGCTGCCACGCCCACCCCCTCGCGCCCCCCCTCCGGCCATTCGCATTGCGCGCGCGCGTGCCGCGCTCGCACAGAGACACTGCAGGACACGCGCGCGGAGTCGACGCATCATTTTTGCAACGCATGGCACCCCCGCGGGCAAATCCTCACAGCGCTGATGCATCGCCAAGGCGTCGGCGTCTCGCGCCGCTGAAAAACTGCTCGGTCTCTCAAAGAACAGCGGGCCGCATCGCCTACACACCGGCTCTGAGGATCACCCTCTGCGCGCGTGCACTCGCGCGCGCCCACGCTCGCGCCGCGCGCACTCGAAACGAATGCCCGACGCAGCAGCAGGAGTGCGAAGACTCTGGTCGCGCCGACTGCATGAAATCGCAACCCTCT